TTTAAAGTCTTGTCCTGAGCCCAGGGGGCTGAGAACTGCCGAAGCCAGGAAAGGATTGTTCAAGTAGAGGAAGAGGCAGATCTTCTACTTGTATCCATGTCCGCACACACTTCCCTGTAGAGTTTTGGGCTCAGCCTTCAGATTGTCTAGATGCCATTGGTGCATGGTGGTTTTTTCAGTGTCTCAGACTGAAACTTCACATTTCTCATCAAAAGGGATTTTTTGTGGGGGTTTGATTAGTTGCTTGTGGGGAGGGGTTGTTGTGAGACAAGCGGTGAGTTCTTTCTTCTGATCTCCACAGGGGCCCCTCCGCTCCCCCCCCCATGAAAGACCAGTGTGGGGGAAGCCATCAAAGTACCGGGCTGCAAGGCAGCATGAATCAATTTAGTTGTCGGCGCATGTGCCTTTGTGTTGCATAGTCTACTTTTCTAATAAGTTTAGAAATGATGTGATTCAGTGTAAGCCCTTGGGAGATAGCAAAGCAGTTATCAGTTTTAAAATGAAAGATGGAAACTTGGGGGCATTTTTGCCACAGGTTATGTTATGCATGTGGGGAATGTGACTCCCTTTTTGGCTGTTTCCCACACAGCAAGCTAGAAGGCTGTTAGGAAGTGATTCTTACTCCCTTGGCACTGTTTTGCTCTGTTAGGATAACCCCGGCTGTTGGCATACCTCCACTATGAACTCTGTTTGTCACATTGCAAACTGGTAGGATGGTGGGAACAGCACAGCTGACTCAAACAACCCCAAGAAAGAGATGTTGTGCTAACCCCTGTTTAGTGTGGTACTTTGTTTTGGGGAAGTATTGTAGATTAAGTGTGAATGGGCAGCCTGGGAATATGTCATATGGCCATACTTTGTGGTTGAGCATTGGCAGGCCCCGCCATCCCCAAACTGCAAAGCAACAATCGACAACTACCAAGTTGTCCACCATGCAAAGCAAATGTGCTACCACTGAGCCACCCTTCAGTGACTGACATTAACTAGTTTAACTGTGTAAAGAGTACAGGGGAAATTATGAATGGGATTTTCATCTTTAGGTGAAGAACAATGCATTGCATTGTTAGTGAGATCATGGACAGAGTGGGGGACAGCAAATCAACTGAAGCTCAGTGCAGATCAAATGGAGGTATTGATGGGTGGTCTGTTTGATCAAGAGATAGGGCTATTCTGTCTTTGGGGTTACATTCCCCGTTAAAGATCAGAGATGCTCTGTGGTTGTGCTTCAGTTCTGCTGTGAATGGAAGCCCAGGTGGCTGTGGTCGTCACCAGGTATGCATTTTATTGGCTTTGGCTGTTTTGTGAGCTGTGTCTTCTCTTGGAAGATGGCAATCTTGCCACAATCAATCCTGCCTCGATAAGAGTTGGATTGGACTATTATAATGGGCTCTTCCAGTTTGGTGTAGAGAGCCAGTTTGGTGTAGTGGTTAAGAGCGTGGACTCTAATCTGGGAGAACCAGGTTTGATTCCCCACTTCTCCACATGCAGCTGCTGGTGTGACATTGGGTCAGTCACAGTTCTTGGAGCTGTTCTCTCACGAGCAGTTCTCAAAAGAGCTCTCTCAGCCCCACCTACCTCACAGGGTGTCTCTTGTGGGGAGAGGAAGGGAAAGGAGATTGTAAAACGCTCTGAGAGAAGGGCGGGGTATAAATCCAACTACCCTCCTCCTCCTCGGCTACTGTTAAATGCAGTCTAAAAATGCCCAAATAGTCCAGAATATAATAACACAAAATTATTAACTAGCCCCTGAAACCATACTCTGCTAGTTTTCAGAGAACTTTGTTGGTTGCCAGTATGTTTCCAGACTGAATCCAAAGGGCTGGCTTTGATCATTTCCATACATACCCTCCCCTCTCCACAGTTCTTCAGAAAATGCCTTCTTCTATAAAAAACCTTCCTGGGCCTATTTGAATGGGACTGTGCCTGCAGTGGGGTTGGCAGCTCTCACTAGCAGTGGGGCCTGTCCAGTAATTCTACCTTGTTTTATGGGAACCCGCTTCCCCATTAAGTCCTCCAGTAATGGTCACACAACCTAAACCTTTCCTTTCTAGAGAGCCTCTGGGAGTTGGCCTTCAAGTAACATCCTGAGGTAGCAAATTACGAGTTGCGTGAAGAAGCATTTCTATCTGTCCTAAATTTACTGCCCATCAAATACACTGAGTTTCCCTGAACTAGGAGAGGGAGAACAAACTCCCAACCTACCAGTGCATAGTTTTCTAAACCTCTGCCATGTTTCCATCCTCTTCAGTGATCTATGTTAGACAAAATTAATCCATTTGCTGCTTTCCCCTGAGAGCTCTGCCTGTGTTTTATTGACCCCACTTTGTAGATTCTTGTTATTTTTTTGTAAAGCACCTGGAGTGCTTTAGGCAACAATCTTTATTATTTGCTCCAGCAAGCCACCATCAAAGGACAGAAAGGTGGGAGGGGAGGAAGTTATTAAAATTCAGAGCAAAATAACTTCTTTCCCACTCCCTCCTTTTTCTGTCTTGCCCAAATCCTATTTCTTCCTCTTTGGTCTGTTTCTGCTGCATCATGGTTATCCTACCATGTGCAATTTGCATGGTTGTTGCAGACAGAAAGCAAAAGAGTGGCTTTTTTGGTTTTTTCTTCTTCTAAAAGCAGCCTACAGTTTCCGTAAACGTACTATGGGTTTCTGCTTGGGTTGACGAATGTCTTCTGGAGGTTGCCCACCAAGGCTTCTTGCCACCCACAAGTTCGTAGGACAAAGTTCTGTGTCTGGACCACAAGGGTGTTGGTGTTCCTACGTTCCTTCTTGCTTCAGGGCCGACTCAGCAGTTGCAGGGATCGGGAAGCTGCTGGCGGGAAGTCTCTGGACCTGGCGACCCTCATTGGACTAGACGGGAAATTGGTTTCACCTAGCAGGGCTCTGCTGATGTTCATGTGCTAGTCTGCAGGGGATGGCAATAAACAGAGCAAGGTGTTGCCCTGCTTGGAACTAATTTGACATGGCAATTGAATTGTTTAAGGCACACTGCAGCACCACTCATGGGACTCTGAAGTCAGAAGGAATATGGAAATGCCAACAGCATTTGACCTAAAATGCCCCCCAAGCTGCTGTTTGCCCCATTGGCACAGCATTCTGATATAAGACTCAGTCAGACCAGAACTGCTTTGGGAACATAGAGTTGGGAAGGCCATCCATGGAATCCCCCAGCATGCCTGGTTTTACCTGCCGGCTCACTAGGTGCCCTTGGGCATGGCAAATCCCCCACCTCTCCAGTTTTCACCCTTCTGTCCGCAATATAGAGATAATTGCACTGAATCACCTTGCCAGATGGTTGTAGGTCACAAAATGCCTTGAGGCAGGGCCATAGCCAGGATTTTTAGTTTTGTGGGGCAAATTTGTTTTCTTCTGGGGCACCTATTATGCTTATACTTGCCAAGACCACGGCCACACATCCCGGAAAATCTACAGCAACTAAGTTATACTTATACTTAAAAATAATAATAAATAACTGGAGTTTTTGGGAGTGGAGCTTGAGGAGGATGGGGTTTGGGGAGGGGAGGGACTTCAATGGGGTATAATGCCATAGAGTCCACCTGGGAATCAGGTGTTATGGCAGGGAATCCCCAGCCACCACCTGGAGATTGGCAACCCCAGGAGATTGGCAACCCCAGGAGATTGGCAACCCCAGGATTGGCACACACACACACACACACACACACCCCGGCAGTGGGGAAGCTGGGGAAGGGAAGGGAAGCTGCCCTGCTGCTTCTGGTCAGTTTCATTCCTGGAGGAACAGCTGTAAGGTTTAACAGCTGAATTGGAGGGAGTGAAACTGACCAAATGCAGCAGGGCCACTTCCCTTCCCTTCCCCAGCTCCCCCACAGACCTGAGGCTGAGGTGAACCTGGGACCTTCTGCAAGTCAAGCGGATGCTCTACCACTGAGCCACAGCCCCTCCTCAGCTGCATCCTTTCCTAGGAAGGGGGAACCTGAGGGACCACAGTCACACTTGCCTTGGTAGCATGCATGTTGGACTACTGCAATTTCTCTCTGCATGGGGCTGCCTTTGAAGACAGTTCAGAAGCGTCATCTGGTTCTGAATATGGTGGCTAGGGTGCTAACAAAGGCTGGCTCACAGCAAGAACAGTGGTTCCCTCTTGTGCTGGTGTAATTGACTGCCGCTGGGCTTTTGGGCCCAACACAGAGTTCTGGTGTTTACTTTTAAGGACCTGAAAGGCCTGGCTTCTCGCAACCTGGTGGACTGCCTCCACACACGTAGACTGGCTCCTGTTCTGAGGTCAGCCAGAGAAGCTTTATTGCTGTGACCCCCTGCTGGAGAAATTCTGTTGACAGGAACCTGTATGCTAGGGTTGCCAGGTCCCCTCGCCACGCCAGTGCAGAGATTTGGGGGGGGGGGGATTCCAGGACGTTGCCAACATGATGACATTACCTGGAAGTGACATAATCACATCAGCAACATCATGCAGCAATGCTCTGGCTTTAGGCCAAATTTACCATAGAGTTTTGTCCTCAAACCAGAGCATTGCGTGTGACGTCCCTGACAGGATGACATCACTTCCTGGTGACGTCATTGCATCGGGGGCGTCACACCCAGACATAGCTGTTTGGGGGGGGGGTTCCCCACCGGCCAGCTGACTGGCAGCAGGCAGAAGCCTCAAAAAGCCAGGGAACCCCCGCTGGGACCTGAGGACTGGCAGCCCTACTGTGTGCAGTCTGACTTGGCAGCTGCCCTCCCTGGCATTAAGGGCTTTCTGGCACCAGTTGAAAACATTTGTAATAGAAAGGTCTTTTTTAAAGTTACAGTTTGTCCCTGGAATACATAGATTTGAATGGCGCCCGTTGTCTATTTTTAACTGCTGTAGATGGACTATAACATAAGCTACCTTTTCAAGAGAAACGCCGGATATCTGTCTTCAGGCAATAACAATAAAAAGGCAACGGGGAGTACATAAATACTAAATCGTCTTTATTATTATTATTTCCAGCTGGGAGGAGGAAGAGCGTGCTCTGAGGAGCCTGGGAGGTGTCCCCTTCTGTTGCCAAAGAAACCCCTTCCAGAATGGACCTCGTGAATGAGCTGCCTAGGAGGGTTCTCTTCCTGGTGTCTCTACTTTTCCAGCTCCAAGGTAACACGAAACATTTTGTTTGGCTGCCTCCATGGCTGGATCAAGGCCCCACCACCACCCTTTGTCTTCTGCAAAGCTACTGGTCTGTCAGTCTCCCTGGTCAAGTTACTCTCCAGCACACTGTCCTTGGCAGTGAAAAGCTTTATTGAGTTATACAAGGTCCAGGCATGATCCATACTGTGTCAGTCCTAAAGCATTTTGGCAGGTACTTGCATAAATATAGAAAGTTCAAATGTAGCCCCCTCCTAAACCCCACACATACATCACGTCACATACACAGCCAGGCTCCGGCGTCTCCATCCCCCCTTCTCATGGGAATATACAATCCCATTATCTACTACAGGCTGGCACTAGAAGCTTTCAAGGACATCTCCCTGTGAACAGAGAGAGGCACATCTTGAGAGAAAGGTTGCACTGTCTAAGATAGAGCACACACACAATCACACACCCCCACCTAAGGAATTCCCTCCCCCCCAGCATCTATGACAAACTATGAAGAGCTAAGCAAAGCAAAGCTAAGCGAGAGGCATGGTTTGACATTCTGCCTCCCCCCCCCCCCAACCTCCACTGGCTTGAGAGGGTGCCGCTTATGGAAAGCATGCACCAATTTTGCAGCCTTAACATGCTTAGATTCCACCCATTCATTATGGGAGGGGTCAAAGTCCTTCCATTTGACCGGATGGTACAGTCTCCCCCTCTTCATTTTAGCATCTCTTCCACTTCTTGATGACATTCCCCCAGCATCTATGACAAACTATGAAGAGCTAAGCAAAGATAAACAAAGCATGGTTTGACACTGTCCTGTCCCATGTGATTATAAGCACTTGGCGGCTGGGCTCCCTGTTTGCTGGGCTTCACTGCTAATGGGCAGCCTAAAAAGAACTTCACAAAGTGACTGCTGGTAGCTTAATCTGTCCTCAGCCTCCCTGTCTGAGGTAACAGAGCACCACTAATTTTGATAATATTGAATACTTTCTTTTAAGTTGCTCTGACCTGGATAGCTCAGGGTAGCCTAATCTCATCTGATCTCGGAAGCTAAGCAGGGTCGCCCTTTGGATGGGAGACCTCCAAGGAATACCAGGGTCATGATGCAGAGGCAGGCGATGGCAAACCCACCTCTAAACATCTCTTGCCCTGACAACACCACTGGTTCGCTGGAAGTCAGCTGAGACTTGACGGCACTTTCCACCACCAATATTTTTAATCCATGTGAAGACTTCTGGGGCATCTCTCTTAGTCAGAATACCATATAATTATTATTTTTTTTAATTTGTGTGTCCGTGTCCTACAGGTATTTATGGGCTCACGGTGCAGGAGGAAGATTTCCGATTTTGTGCTACGAGAAACCACACTCAGAAAAGCTCCATCTATTATAAAAAGCATGGAAACTTCATCAGCATTGAAAACCATCCCCATGGACTGTACATAAGTGCGCCGTTCCTTCCAGAAGATGGGAATTATTATCTGAAAGATCGCAATGGACTTTACCGCTTTTGTGTTTATGGGCAACAGGCAACTGGTCTTTTCAGGCTACACTATGGAAACAGAATCTACAACTTGAGTACCGAGGCCAAAGGTTTCCTCTGCTCTTCCAATGTGAGTGGAAACTCCAGTCAAGGGAGTGGAAAGCCCAGTTCTGTTCTTCACAGCGTCTCCTATGCCTATAACAAGGGATCCCGCAACCAGTCGCTTCCAGACTCCTCTGCCTACAAGATCATCTTCCATGGTGAGACTAACTGTCCGAAAAGGCTGCAAGGTCTCATGGCTAGTCTTGTCCCCTCCAGCACAGCTGTGCCACCCAGAGCCCAACAGGGTCAGGAGCAGAGTTGCCATGCATTCGAAGATGCCTTGAATTAAGCAAGGCAACTTACGTGCCAGTATGTCATACAACCAGGGGTCATTTCGTAGAAAAACAGCTAGGGGATCTCATTAGCATAACTCATTAGCATAGGCCACACCCCCTGACATCAGGGGCCCGGCGGTGGACCTGCAAGGCCGGCGGGAGTGCGAGGAAGCCCCGCCAAGGCCCTCCCTGGCCCCAGGCAGGCAGGGGTGGGGAGAGGCGGGGGGGAAGCAACTTACCCTCCCTCTTCTCCTGCCTCCTCCTGGCTGAATGAGGGCTGGAAGCGGGGCGGCCGGAAGCAGGGGGCGGGGCTTCACCATGTGCCCCCCCGTACCTCACCCGGGGGAACTGCGATCCCCCGCGATCCCCCCCGAAATGACCTCTGCATACAACCACGCAAACCGTTGGTTTACCAAAAGCTTGGCTGCAATCCAGCCTGTCCATCTGCGGAGGACAGCCAATGACCAAGAAGAACATGATAAGCAAGCGGTGGGATGTGAGGAAGCCTGGCTGCTCGAGAGGGGGCATAAGAACATAACGAGAGCTGGATCAGGCCACTGGTAAATCTAGTCTGGCATACTGTTTCACATAGTGGCCAATCAGTTGCTCTGGAGAGCCAAACAAACAGGGCACAGAGGCCAAGGCTCTCCCCCTGAGGTTGCTTCCTGGCATTGGGTTTCAGGAGTTTACAGCCTCTGAATATGGAGGTTCCTTTAACACACTGTGACAAGTAGCCATTGATGGAACTCTCCTCTATGAACCTATCTAACCCCACCACCACCATGTAAAGCTATCCAAGCTTGTGGCCCTCACTACATCTGCTTGCAGCGAGTTCCACAATTTAGTTACTCACTGAGTAAAGAAGTATTTCCTTCTGCCTGTCTTAAAAATCTGTTTTCTGCCAGCTGTATTGGGTGCCCCTGAGTTCTAGTGCTACGGGGGAGGGAGAGAAACCTCTCTCTACCCACTTTCTCCAGCCCATGCATAATTTTATAAATCTCTATCATGTTCCCCACATAGCTGTCTTTTTTTTTTCTAAACTAAAGAATCACAGCCTTTTTAGCCTTTATTCATAGGAAAGGTGATCCAACCCCTTGATTATCTTGGTTGCCCTCTTCTGTACTTTGGCCAGCTCTGCAATGTTCTTTTTGAGATATGTGGCCTAATGGCCCCATATCTAAGGTTGACAGATCCTTTAACTGGAGATGCCGGGGATTGAATCTGTGGCCTTTTGCATGCCAAGCAAATGCTCTACCACTGAGCCACAGCCTGCAGGAGGCAGTTCATCACTGAAACCGTGCGACAAAACCAAACAAATCTTTTAAATACAAGCCAGGGTCCTAAAACAGTAGTTTAAATGATATCCGTATAATAGAATTAGACCATAAAACAGCTTTTTAAAAAATGGAACCCCTCAGTTAAAAGCCTGGAGTAAAAAGAAACATTTTGGCCTAGTGCCTAAAGACCAAGTAAGGTGGGCACCAGGTGAACATCAAGGGGGGGGGGGGACACATTCTGAAAGTGAGGCACCATAGCTCAAAAAGCCCCATCTCTGATTGCTACCTGCCTCCTTTCTGCAGGCAATGATGCAGGGCAAAAACACACACACACACACACACACACACAAATACATATACACGTTTGTTTATTAGTTGTCTCTAAGATAACCGCTTTGATCAGAGTCACACGTCGGCTCCAAGAATGTTGCTTTAAAAGCCTCAGGAACCGATTTCACCTACGATGGGCGGCATCAGTGGAGGAGGGAGCTCCTGCCTTCTCTCCCCCCCACCTTTTTCCTGAGCTTAAAGAATGCCCAGGGGCAAGTTAATTGCCTGACTTTGAAGTACTCAGCAAAGTCAGCTTTTAAAGTGACATTGGCCCAAACTGTATCTAGCATTTGCTTCGCTGTTTTACCAAACCCACGTTGGAACAGAAATTCCCCTCTGCATTGTATGCCACTTTCACTTTGATTGATTGTCGAATTTTATGGCAGTGTGTCCAGACTGCTGTTTTCACTTCGTTTGATCTCTTGGTTTTATGGTACTGTCTGCATAGATCTATGGCCGTTTTATGTCCCGTTCAGAGGTTACTCTGCAGTCAGTATGGCATTGGCCCCGGGGTATTTGAATGTGGTTTAGAGCTGCATCTTTTTCTGTTCCAGTGTGGTTTTGGGAAAACAATGGTGCAAATGCTAGATGCAGATTGGGCCATTCTCGGAACTGACTTTTGACCCTGATCGAAGTGGTGAACCCAGAGACAACCCTTAAACAAAGATATTGTGCATTTTTGCCCAAGACTAAGTCTCCAGAAGAGATTCTTAACTGGAAGACTGGACCATACAGGATGAGGCGGCCCTTTGAGAGCATCAACATGCTGAGTTGTCCCCCCTCCTAATGCCAATCCCCCCTCCCCCCGTTCTTGGGCATGCACAGTGTGGCTGAAGAACTGTGTCGTTTTGGTTCTGTAATCCCAGCAAGAAGAGCAGTTGGAGATCAGTAAACTGATTTTTCCTTTGGCTTTTCCCCCCTTGCATGTTAGAGTCTGGAAGTGCGGACAAAAAAAGCTCTCTCCAAGTGTGTGAAGTGGAAAAAGAACTTGAGGACTTAGCAGTTGCCCTGGAATATCCTATATCTGGCAGGAGAAACAATTCTGGGACCTTCTACCAGTGAGTATTGAAGGAATGGCCTTTGCTTGCATTGGCAAATGGAGTCTGGAGGACCCCAGCCACCCGTTCTCCCTTGCAAAGTGGCCCCGGGGGGAGGGCGGGGGGGGGCGAACTAATTTGAAGGGGCTGATTGCCACTTATATTGGCAAACTGGCTCTGCTGGCATCTCTAAGCACTCTTGGTTTTACTTTTCCCCCAACAGCTACCTGCAGCGTTTGGATACATACTTGGGGAAAATGGACTTCAAGGAAGAGAGCAGGACTCTGGGGAAGGGCCGGAGGTTGCGTGCGAGTGTCTGGAATGTTCTACCCCACAAGGCCTCTCTAGGCTTGGCCATCCATTCTAAACCAGAGGTGAGAAAAGAGATCTCATATGGATTGTACAGGGGGAGGGAAAGCATAGATTACCTACCCTAAATTCCACCCTCCCTTTCCCTCATGCAAGGGGCTTCTTTCTGCTCCATTCATCCCGGTCTGCTTTTGCAGGAGAACAAAGAGGTCCGAGGCATTGATGTGACTCTGCCAAGTATCCTCTTTGCAACTACGCCTAGAGGCCGTAAGCAAGCCAATCCGAAGGTAGTCTTTATGGAAGTCAGCAGCCAGAACCAGACCCTCTTCCAGGTACTTATTTAGGGGGAAACTGTGAGTGTTTTCACAAGTGAAGCTACAGGTGCCTTTCTTACATTTTATTTATTACTTTAGGTTTGTGAATTGCCCAGTCCCTGCACACACAAGGCTCTGGGCGATGTACGACAGTTAAAACAATGTGAAGATTAATAAAATCTATAAATCAATTACATAATCTCAGATGCCGTCAATAATTTTCTTTGTACCCACTCTGGACTGTGTTGTTGTCTCGTGGGCAGTGACCCAACATGGACACCCCTCTCCCTCACCTCCTGTGATATTTAACAGGCCAGCCGCTTGGAGGAGCCTTTAAATCTTGCAGGAGGGGTGGGGGAGGGGCGGCATGCCAGCCATGCTGCTTGGAGATCAGGCATGCAAGGCCCGGCCCTCGCTGGCCAGATTCATTTAAAGGGACCCTTTAAATGCTTCTGGCCAGCAGGGCCGCACGCGCCTGAATTTCAAGCAGCAAACCACCACTTGGATTTCAGGAGTGTGGCCAGTGACCGCCCCTCTCCCTCCCCTCCTGCAAGATTTAAAGGGCCCTCCTGCCGATTGGCAGGCCACGTGCTCCCCTGATCAGCTGGAGGGCCCTTTAAATCTCAGGAGAGGAGGGAGGGGGTGGCTGCGGGTGGTTGTTCTTGGGGGTGGAGCTTTGGGGTGGCTGGTGGCAGGCTGAAGCCCTGACAATCAGGGGAACCCCTGCCCAGACCAGGGATTTGTACACGGTGATTTACTGTTTTACAGACCAGGGATTTGGCATCCCTAAAGCCCTGTGTTTGCACATTGTCAACTCCTGGGCTAGGCTGGGATGCGGGTGGGCCGTGGGGCGTAGCCAGGACGGCAGTTGGCACGGCTGAACAGAGGTTGCCTCAGACATTGTCAGAAGAGTTGCTTCACTCTATCCCTGACGGTGGTCTTGGAGGACACGCTCGAATGGATAAGGGCAGCTGCCCTGTGTCTCCCTCCTCTCCGTCACTCTCACCAATCCTCCCCGGCTTCCACCTACTTCTCTTTTATTTGTGCTGACTCCCCACCTGAACGCCCCACTGCCCACGCCTTAAAGGAATCGAACCAAGGGATTGGGCTCCAGTTGTTGGGGTCTTGTCTCAGACATTCCCCACCTTTCTCTCCACCTGTTGGGGCCCTGGCAGGTGGCCCAGCCGGCTGGCCGCCCCTTTCCTCCCCCCTTCCCTTTTGGTCTGCCTTGGAACGGTCGGTGGGGAAGAACCCCGGGGCCTTCAGGAAACATCTGCACGGCTCCCTGGCGTCAGAACAGGGGGGTCCCTCCAGTGTAGCTGGGAAGGGAGGTTCCTCACCTTCCTGACACACATGATGCAGTCCTGATCCGAACTAGGGTTGCCAGCCCCCCCCCCCGGCCAATGGCAGGGGATGCGGGGGAGGTAGGGATGCCAGATCCAGGTTAGGAAACTCCTGTAGATTTGGGCATGGAGCCTGGGGAGGACAGGGACCTCAGTGGGGTACAGTGCCACAGAGCCCACCCTCCAAAGCACCCATTTTCTCCAGGGGAACTGATCCCTGTCATCTGGACATGAGCTGTAATTCTGGGGGATCCCCAGGTCTCACCTGGAGGCTGGCATCTCTAAACTGAGCCTGTGTGCAAGCCTGGGAAGTGTAGAACTTCAGAACATGTCCCTTCTAACCTGACAGCATTCCTGGGGGGGGGGGGAAGGAACATGTAGTTGGGCTCACATCTGAGCGGCTGTGAGATTCCGTTTTCTCTCCAGTACCAGTTTGGCATCCATTTCAGTGGATTTGCCCCTTGATGTCCGGCCATGCGCTAAGGCAGAGCTTCTCTTCGAGTGCATCCAGAAAGCCGTCCCTTTCAAAATTGGGAGCACTGCCAATGCTTTTGATCTTTACACTCCAGATATCTGGGAGAGATTTAGTTCATGCTGGTGCCTCTTCATCTGTGGGGCTGGTGAGATCTCTGCCTAGCTGGTGTCCCCTACTGCCATATGTGGGGCTTCCTGGAGATGGTGGGTTGGATCCAGCCAACATTTCCACTCATCCTCTCCCAGTTCTGCTTACTGTGGCCTTTGTCACACGTGGCCTTTGTCCACGCAGGTCCCATGATCCTCGACTTATCCTTTCTGTCTTGTTCACCAGTGGAAAAGCTGGTTGGATCCGACATCTTGGAAGTGTTTCATGGCACAAAAAGAGGATGGGCCAGTGTGTCTCACACCCCCCCTATCTCCCAGTTGTTGTGTCCAACCATCCCTCTCATTTTTGTCTAGAAGAACTGGACTGAGGGGGGAGAGAGACGCAAAGGAACCAGAGGAGGAAGAGGGACAGGCAGCTGTTTCTTGCCTCGCTGCCTCTGAGCACAGGCACCAATTTAGGCCCCTTCCCTTCTTCCCAGTTGTATGCTAGCGGCCAAGCCAGGAGCCTGAGGGGTCACGGTCTAGACTGGACCAGATACTTTTTGGCAGTTAGGCTTTCCTTAACTGAAAACTGAGTGAGGGAACACCTGCCTGCTTCCGTTCCCTCCGTGCTTTAGGGCGTAAACCGAAACTTTCTCTGAAGCTGGGGGATAAATTCCACTGTGGGAGAACTCCAGACAGATTTCAGCTAGCTCAGGTCTTGACATGATGTTCTGCTCCTGTTAGAATAAGGGAGCCTCAAATGGTAAGGTATTTGCCTTGGGCCGTTGTGGCCTGCCCATTCCACTTATCTTCTATTAAAGAACATTTAATTGACCTGTGCGTAAGCAGCATGAGAAGGATCAAGACCACCCAGAGCAAGTTCTGGCAGGACTGGGCCTATCAAAATGATACAATTCCTGTCAGCTCCAACAAGGAGTTTTGATGCAGGGCGGGCAAGCAGGCAGCTGGTCTTTATAGCATTCTGGCAATGGCTTCATCTTGATGAATGGTGATTAGGAAATGAGGAGACCTTGGGGAGCAGCCCTATTGATGTGGGGGAACAATGAGAAAGCTACCTGTGGTGAACTTCACCACTGGCGGTGGCAAGACCTGAGGAGAAGACTAGGTGGACTTCCAGGCAGCAGCTATGAACTCGTTAAGACACATCTAGAGGTTTCAGGTGAGTGAGCCAAGCTGCACGCTGCACAGGGCAAAAAGAACGCCACTTGCTTGCTCACCCAAGCGCAAAGCAGATTCTTTTCCCCAAGCAAAATGTTGCTGTAACCACATGTGACAATACAAAAGGGGCTCACTGATTTCCTCCCAGTAACAAACACCTTTATGAAAAATGTCAATAAGAACTTGTATCATTATTATTATTTACCTATATTCCCCCTTTCCCCCCAATGGGTATTCAAAGGGGCTTACATTGTTCTCCTTTCCTCCATTTTTTCCTCACAACAACCCTGTGATATAGGTTAGGCTGAGAGTGGGTGACTGGCCCAAGGTCACCCAGCAAGTTTCCATGGCAGTGTGTGGATTTCAGCTTGGGTTTCCCAGATCCTAATCTGACACTTTAACCACTACTCTTTGCTGGCCTTGCTGGATTAGACCGGTGGTCCATCTAGTCCAGCATCCTATTTTACGCAGTGGCCAGCCACTTACTCTGGAGGGCCAACAACAGGGCCTGAAGGCTGAGGCTGCCTCCTAATATGGGTATTCAGAGGTTGACTGCCTCTGAATGTGGGTAGTTTCAGAGGGTACCTGTGTTGGTCTGCAATAGAACAGCTAGATTGGAGTCCAGTAGCACTGTAGAGACCAGCAAAATTTTAGGGGTGATACTCCTGAAATCTTGTTGGTTTCTAAGGTGCAATGGGCCTTGTATCTAGCTGTTCTGAATGTGGAGGTTCCCTTTAGTCACCATGGCTAGTAGCCTCTAATAGACCTGTCCTCCGTGCATCTGTCTAATCCCCTTTTGAAGATGTGTATGCTTGCGGCCATCACTAGATTCCTTTGGCCCTTATTGCATAAAGAAGCATTTTCTTTTGTCCATCCTGAGTTTACTCTGTTGGGTGCCATCAAGTCCTAGTGTTTCAGGAAAGGCCGAAAAAGTTCTCTTTGTCCATTCTGTCTGCTCTCGAAACAGCACTGTATAGACACCAAGAGTTACTTCAAGCCACCTGGAAACAAATGGCATGCTTTGTGGGATCCAGCTCTGGTGCGGGTCTGTGTGTACCTGGAAGCACCTCTTTCGGTTAGATGCTGTAGATTTTCTGGGCTGTCTGGCCATGGTCTTGGCATTGTAGGACCTGACGTTTCACCAGCAGCTGTGACTGGCATCCTCAGAGATATAACACAGATGGAGTACTCTCTGTGTCAAGGTGAGAAGAAAAATGGTAGGCAGGTAATTTATATCTACTCAGGAAGGGTGGGGTAGGGTCATTATCTTGTGGGAGTTCCCCAGGCTGTGACATGCTAATGGAGGAGCGTACAGCCCAGAAAATCTACAACTAATGAACTCCGGCCGCGAAAGCCTTCGACAACATACCTCTTTAGGTTGCTTATGCCTGTTGCTTGGTTGGTCTTAACTGGTCCCCTCTTTACCAAAATTCCAGCCTCACCAAAATTCCGGATCGATCCTTGGTGAAGTGGTGTTTGGCATCTCTGTGGCAGACAGACAAGTCTCTGGTTTGCCCAAGGAGCAGCGGGTGGCTCTCACGTTCTGGCACAACCGGCTTCTGGTAGGTCTGAAAAACAACAACCCCTCTACTCCAAAACAGATATCCAGTCATTTGATGTTTGTTGTGCTGCAGCAAAGATCTTTTCAGAGCAGGAGTAGTTGTTGCATGAACTAAGAACTGCATCCGGGATTTTTGAGATTATTACACCCTTTCCCAGTTTTCTTAGATGAAAGTCCTTCCCCGGTTCCACTGTTTGTTTGGCAAGATGCATAGAAAAACTGGCACTACAACTTCCCCCCCCCTTTGAGGACATTATCAGTTGCACATCAATAAGCAATGGGTTGGATCCAATGCTGAGCAAATGGAAACATAAACAGACTTAGCACACTTCTACTTTCTTGAGCCTTCCTTTATGTGCAAGATTGTGCACAGGATCTCACATAAGCGGAAACGCGGATGGGAATACAGTAGGTTTGGCTCCATGGAAGCAGCAACTGCAGTCGTCTTCTTGCATTTCTGTTTGTTCAAGAACTCGATAGTGCAGCTGGAAATGTTGTGCTAGATCCAACCCAAAGTCCCTAAAATGCAGCCACTTACACTTTTCTTCCTGGGAAGCAAAAAATCCCCCCAGGTACAAAACCCCCCCACAAAAAATTCTATCAATTTTGCAGTTGCGGTGCTTTTTTGTCCCAGTGGAACTTATGGCAGGGGTATTGGAGGGAGAAAATGTGCCATGATGACGGTATTTTTCAGAAAACATGGACCCAGGGAAGCGTTAAGTGTCCTGGAGAAATAACAGCCCCTTGGTCTTTTCGCAGAAAGCTGGAAAGATTTTCTTTTCACAAATTGTTTAAATAAGAGGGGAAACCCCTCCAAGGTGGGAGGAAGATCTCTTAGTTTTATTTCTTTATTTAAATTTTTGGGCACCCATTTTCCCATCTATCATGTTCAAAATGGCTTAGAAAAATACTGTCAATAAAAAGAGCTGAAAACTGAATAAAACAATTCACTTCTTTTTTTAAAAAGATACCCAGTAAAGGTAGCAGATCAGACAAAGAATGATAGTATTAATTAAATTGAAAGTGATGTCAAGTACATCAATACCAAAGACATAAAACAGCAGGTAAAATGCAATATAAAATGTCATATGAGATAGTATAAAAACCGTCATAAAATAAAGAAAAGATAGTTATCTATTAAAATTTCTATCTTGTCCTTCCTCCAGGGACAGCATATGTGGTCCTTCCTGCCCCCATGTTATCATCACAACAACCCTGTGAGGGAGGTTAGGACAAGGGAGAGGGACCGGCCCAAGATCATGCAGTGAGTTCCATGGCTGAGCAGGGATCGGGGTCTGAGTCTAAACGATGTGCCCTAAAGCTGATTTTTCATCAGGTTCCATGCAAACAAGTTAACTATAACGCTAACTAAAAGCCTGGATAACCAAAACACTTTTTACTGGGTGCCTCAAGGATGGAAAGCCACACATTTTGCCTCTTAGCAAAGTTTTCTGTTTTTGTTTTTAAATTACACACTTTAAATTATCTCTTGGATTTTTGTCCTTCCAGAAAAATGCAACTCCACAGTGTGTGTTCTGGGATACAAGCTCTAATGGTAAGTGACCTCAGTAGCTCGGACAGACATTCTTGGCCTCTCCTTCTGTGTTCCCTGTATTTGTTTCCTCATTGATACATACTTATTGAGGAAGGACTGTGGCTCAGTGGTAGAGCATCTGCTTGGCATCTAGAAAGTCCCAGGTTCAATCCCCGGCATCTCCAGTTAAAAAAGATCTGGTGGCAGGTGATGTGAACGACCTCCACCCAAGACACTAAAGAGCACTGCCAGCCAGAGTAAACAATACTGAGTTTGACAGACCAGCTGTCTAACTCAATAGAAAGTGGCTTCATGTCTTCAGTGGGGCTGTGGCTCAGTGGTAGAGCATCTTCTTGGCATGCAGAAGGTCCCCAGTTCAATCCCCAGCATCTCTAGTTAAAAGGAACAGGTAAGAGGTGATGTGAAAGACCTCTGCCTGAACCCCTGGAGAGCCATTTGCTGATCAGAGTAGCATTACAACACAGCTCAGAAGTGAAAGTGAAGACAAAAGGGAAGCGTCCAGACATGAAGGGCCTTTTGCAGTTTCCCTTGTGTCTGCAGATGAGATAAGGAGAAAGGGCAGGGGAGGGGAGATGAGGCAGCAGATCTCTAGGGGATTGGGGGGGGGGGGGGCGCATGGACACTATTTCTACCTGTTCCCAAGCTGCTTACTCTGCTTTCCCACTTGCTGAATAATGCACATTCAACACACTGTTAATGCATTTTGCAACTGGATTTCACTGTCCGAAACAGGAGATTCCACTTGGCAAATGATTGCTAAAGTGCATTGAAAGTGGATTATTCAGTTTGCAAGCTCTCTTGTCTTCCAGGCTAAGACAGAGAAGGAAAAAGTGACATACTTTACATGCTAAAGACCCCCAGCTTTTAGTCTCCAGCACCACTTTCTGATAAAAGAGACTGGGGGGGGGGGG